TCTTTCTCTCTCTCTCACACATACACACACAAGATTTCAAATGATCATGACAAAATACAAAAAGACAGTTAAGGACATAACCACAACTTACACATTCACAAATTCAAATCACAGGCTGAGTGGTCAAGGTGGTAGGGATGGAGCAGGATGTCATACTAGGACAGGGACATAGAAAGTAGATTTTCAAGGACTTGTAATAATAAGAGTTTTAGTCATAAAAGTCCTTCGAGCAAGCACACGCAAATTTGGATTCTGACATGCACTTAATCACATCCAAAGGTCAGCTATGTGATTTTAAAAAAAAATTTATTTATATTATTTACAGTCAGACTAATATCCTCATCTTTGTTGCTATTATCACAGCCTTTTTTTAATATTGTGTCCTCTTCAGGTATCTGCCAATCCAGGTAACCTTCAGGGAATTTTGAAATGAGCCCTTTATTTCATTTAATCTATCTTGTCTTGTCCTTTTTTCTTTTTAACTACTGCTCAGTTATTACTGTTTCCACTGAAAATGAGTCTGTACTATCTGGGCAGGGGGTTCTTTGATCTCCAGCCCTTACAGAAGCCAAATCAAATACTCATTTAATATGATTTCTTAGAATGTAAAAAAAATAATTCTTTTTTTTTTAATAATAATTTAGAGTGCTTAATCAATAATATATGAAAAAAAACTCCAGATTAAGAATTTCAAATTCTTTTGCTTCTTGTGAATCACGTCATATAAGCATATTTGTTTTAGATTCCATAGGGGGATCAATTTATAATGAACATACATAGCAAACTGGACCCCCATTAACTATTATAAAATTTAATACATTTTTGTTTTTTTATTTTAATTTTTTTTTAGATATTCATAATCAAGAGAATTTAATCTATAAATATGGAAAAAAAAAAAAATTAGCAAAAAATTTGTTCTGGTCGCTGTGCCTATGATTATACTTTTTAAGTATTGCCATTTAATTTTTTTGTTGAAGTTGTATAAAGTTAAGGGTTGCTATTAAAAGACGACTTCCTAAATAAGATATTTAAGCAATGCAGTACAACAACAATCAAAAGAAAAATCAACATACTTAAACATTCTGGTAATTACAATAATAAATTACAAACAAGACATCAGCAAATCTGAAAATTTCCTCAGTCCTAAAGGAAGAGATTTGCCATTAGCTGTGTCTCCATTAGTTGGCTTGACAGCCGATTGGTCTCCCTCACACAAAAATTTATCATCCATGTCAAGATACATGCTTATTATTACTCCCACACTCACCTCTTCTTATTTTAAGGGTGAGGAGAAGTGTTAACTGAAGAGAAGTGTTAAATGAGGAGCAAGCAGGAAATGGGGAATGAAAAAAGGATGTGTGTGAAAAGGGGAGATGAGAGGGAAGACTAAACTTATGAGGTGGACAGTAACTAACCACCAAAAGTTGTCCTGTGCCTTAAGTGGCCCTGCTTCCTACTTACACATTCCATAGGAATGAGAAGGTGCTACATTTCACAATCCTTGAGCCAACTAAAGATTAAGCTTTCTGTAAATAACAACTGAAACAGTAACACAAGGTTCACAGCAACAACAGAGATATTAATAAGCAAATTCAAATAATTACACACAATTTTATAATCACAGCTACTAATAGATGACACAGACATCTAGACACTTGAATAAATTAGTTTTATTTACACATTTACATAGGAGAATTTTTAGAATAAATTTTTATTAATCCGATAGATTTGTATCACTTTAAACGTCTGAATACTTGAAAAATCTTTTTAATAAAAATTTGCGCCCTTTGGCAGGAATCGAGCCTATATCCTTCAGGGCAGAAGACAAAAAATGCTTTAAAATGAAACTTCTCCCATCATAAAATTCTCAAAGTTTTTTCATATCTCCAGTTTCATATCCAAATGTAAACAAAGAGAATTTTTAGAATGGATCTGTTGGATTAATAAAACTTCTTCTAAAAATTCTCTGTTTATGTTTGGATACGAAACTATGCAGATATGAAAAACCTTCAAGAGATCTATGACGGGAGAAGATTCACTTGAAAGCATGGAACTGGCTTCGTCTAACCATGTGTTTCCTTCATGACAAATCGGTAAGGTACACTGGGCTAAACATGACTCCTTCTGGATTGATGGACACAAGTTCAATACTTGCCAAAAGGGCAGAAATTTTTCTTTAATATGATTTCTCAAATATTCAGGCTGGTAGGTGAAAATAAATGTATATTGTTTAATAAATAAACAAAACACCTACCAAATATGAGTATCCACTAAAAATAACATTTAAAGTGATATACATTTACATATATGCTTTATTGGGTAGATTTGTTTTTAAGTTTCATATACACACACACACACACACATGTATATATATATATATATATATATATATATATATATATATGTGTGTGTGTATGTGTGTGTGCGCAAATATATAGTAAAATAGAAAAGAACCGTTAGGTTAATAATCTGAAGTTCTTTATTTTTGTTTTATTTAAAAAAAAAGAAGCAGTGCTCAATACACAAGTAGAGCCTATATTATAATTATTTTTTTAAAAATATGATTCCATCGCTACATAAGAATTCTCATGTTTCAAAAACAGAAACTAAAAACTTCAATTTAATTATAGAAATTAAATTAAATTAAATTACCTAGTTCTGTTTCATGTTCAAGTAAATTTTGTAATAACAAATTTTGAAATATATGGAGCTTAATAAGCATATACATTCGTAATATTAATTTCTATGGAAATGGAGAATAATAAGGGGCGGTAGGGTTTACATTTTCACTGACATCTATTGTATCAACATATTAGTTACTTTCAAAAAGAGGTTAAGTCAAGGTAGGGTCGGGGGGTGCCTATTTTCAAACGAATGATGACATCCGTTCAGCACATATCGTCTGGTCTAATTCAATGACAGAGTTTTAGCACTTTTTGTTACATCGTTAAATTTGTATTTGTATACATAAAGATTTTTTTTTTTTCTAAAAGGGTTGCTTGTATATGAATATGTTGTATTGAACTACTATTTGTTTTTCTAACGACTTTATAAAGGGTTATTTTATGATTGGGTTAAGTTTTTAAACCTATTGCTTTATTTGAACTTGCTTATAGACTTCGAAATTTAAAAAAAATTTTTAAGCTAATTATTTAAGGCAAATATTTGTCAGCAAAAAAACCATTATCACATGTCTTTCATTTAATAAATTTTCTTTTTTAGAAACTTAAAGTGTAGTTCTTCATGTAGGCATAAAGGGCATGGGTCATCCCAGGTTTTACAATTTTTTGTTCTATTTATTATTTTCCATTTTACTTTTGGTGTTTTATTCGTTTTGGGTTTTTCATTCAGAATTTTATTATTTTAATTATTTATACCCGAGATAACGTTCTATTATGATCCCGTAATTGATTCTTAAAGCCAGCTTCATTTTTACAACCTCTCTTACACACATGGCAAACAAAGTTTGTCTGTGTTACCTATGTTGGAAATTTGCCTGTCCCTGTGTACAATCATGTGACATTTGAGTCCTGCAACAGAGTTATAAGCCTTGTCACAAAACTTGCACAAGTAATCTCCAGGCCTTTCTGGTAGGGTTACATTCACATGTGTGATCTCATATGACTGGCTAAACCATATGTGCATGTGTATGCATGTGATGAGAGATACATATAGATATATAAAGGTGCTTGCAAAAGTACCCAGTACACTCTTATTAGAAAATTAAAAATAGTATAAAAAGTGTTCTGCTATCCATTCACATAAACTCATTATATAAGTTACTCACCGTTTCCCTCTTTCTCCTCTTGCCTTTAATTTGTTCTGTGGGTGTTAAATTCACCAAACCTTCTTTCCTCATTAGAAGTTGATTGAAATTTACAATCTTGCATTCCAAATTTTGCTAGAATCTTTTCTATATAATTTGTTTGATTTATGTCAGTGGAGTTATTTTTAAACATAAATTGTATACTAAGAAAGAAAGCTGTCCAAGATCAGTCATTTTGAATTGTTTATTTATATGTGTTTTTACATTAATTAATGCAGAATTGCAATTTGAAAAAATGAGTACATCATCAAACCAAATAACCATAATCAATATTTTATTTGAATTGTTTCTTGTGTAAATGCAAGAGTCTGGTAAGGAGTAAGAGAAATCTTTACTAATTAACCATTAGACAACCTGCACCTAACTTATTCCACCATTTATTTTAATTTTAATATATTTGTTTGGAAAAGTTGTTAAATTTGGCCATTCATATATGTTAAATTTGACTAAATTTACTGTACACACCCATATTGCAATTTGGAAAAAAAATTAAAATATTTCCTATAAATTTTGTTTAATTTTTTAAATTGTTCTAGTGAAAGATTTACTGAATTTAATGCTTGCAAGAATGTAACCAAATCTATGTTACCATCCAAAGTAGCCACCATCCTATTTTTCTCTGAATTATTTTTTCTATTTTCATAGATTTTAAGAATTTAAAATTAATGTTTTAAAAAAAAAAAAAAAGTAACAGACAATGGAAAATGTGACACAGAAATCCAAAGAAACATAGGAGTAGCATTTTAAGAAACTAAGTATTAAGGAAAATTTCATATCAGATAATAGATTTATTGATCCACCATCCAATATATTTATTTACCTGATCTTGAACTCTTTCCAGTGGGAAACAAATTACAATCTTAAATGACCAGACAGAAAAATGTTGAAAGGCCTGGTTGCCTTTATTTTCATTGACGCTACAGATTCAAATATCTTTACTGAATAAATTCAAATATTATAGCTTTTATATGAAATCAAACAAAACAAGAATCTTTGCTGCATTTTCAACATTCATAGCAGAAAACTAACAAGTTTTTCATTGATGATCATACAAAAGAGAAAGGAGTAAAGAATTGGTAGGCTTATGTGCCAAGTTAACAGGCATATTGATTAATTTTTAATTAGTATGATCTTGTTCAAAATGACAAGTAGCATAGACCAGGAAAGGCCTTACCTGAAACATTGAGGTGTTCCAAATTGACACAGTTAGATACCAACTCAAACAAAGCTGGGTTGGTGATGTTACTGCAAGACTGTAGTTCAATGTGCCGCAGCTCAGGACAGCGTTTTGCAATGGTATGCAATCCTTTATCAGTGAGGTTTTCACAGCCATTCAAATTGATCTTCTCAATAATGATGCACACAGTTGGTGTATTATAGCTTAAACGTTTGGTCAGGCTTTTCAGAGCCCGATCAATATTAACAGCTTTGTTATTAATTACAAGGCTGGTCCAAAGCGTTGGATCCCAGCTAAGCCGGTACCAAAGTTTGCAAACACGTGAACACTTACACAACTGGTCTGTGGTCAAATTAGAAAAGATCTTTACAATGATATCATCGCTGAGTTGCTGGAAGGGTGATGGACGGGGGTGTGACTTTGTTTTTTTAATTCCAAGAATGAGCTTCCCAGTATCTTCCAAGTTAATGTGCTGGAATTTGGTATTGATCGAGTCCATTCCAACTGCCGAGTTGTGGAAATCCCGAAGTGCAGAATTGTTGTAAGTGGACTGTGGGGGTTGGTTATGTGTTGGGCATGACTTGCCATAGGAAGAGGTGTTGTTGGAGAGAGAAGACCATCCAGAATATCTGCTATCCAAAAGAGACTCAGAGGAAGAACAAGAACCTTTGAAAGTTGACATTGTCGTTGAGACAATTCCAGAACTGGAATCGTGTGCAGATTCCCCATGGTGATCTGGATCTGTAATGAAAAGTTTAAAATATAAAGTCATTGCGCAAAATTAATTACATGATATTTTATCCTTTTTATTACCAATCTCAAAATAGAACTGAAGTACATGGTCTGAAATCACAAAAATAACATAATGGCCATGAATGCATTGTTATTTGTCATTTTTTTTTAATTGGTATTTCTTCCATCTTCTTTCTGTTGCATTTCTCCTGTTATTTAACTGCTAAATATGCTTAGCTGCTGACATAACAGCTGGGTATGAGTTAAATACCAGGGTTGGCTGGGCTCTCTAGCTTTGGGTGACAGTCTAGAAAAAGGAAATCTGAATTGAAAACCATGGAGAAGGCAACAGGAAACCATCCCAGAGTCTTTCCCAAGAAGTCATATCACAATTCACAGATAATAAAGAAACAAATTCTTTGGGGAGTCCATGATTGTCTACAGCCTGAAGGGACATGGCATTTAAAAACACCACAAAAAAAAAAAAAATAAATAAAAAAATAATAAAAAAAAAAAGCAAAGAAAAAAAAGAAAAAAACATGGTCATATAATATAAAAAATGACTTTAGAATTTTAATAAAAAGAAAAATGATGTAAAAATTAGTTTTTCTTCTTGTAATATTAATAATCATGAAATGTCACTTGGTTTGTGTAAAAAAAAAAAAATCCATGCAGGCAATGTGAAAAATGATTTTTTTTATGTTAAACAGATTTAAAAATTAAAAAAAATAAATTTAAAGTATTGCTGCAGTGTAGTAAGCCTCTTAGAATCAGCCAGGTCAGAGATGTCTGATGATTATCGAACTTATATCTAGAAAAAAAAAAAAAAAAAAAAGACTTGGGTGCTGGATCATATAACTCATTTAGGTTTAAAATATATGATTAAATAAATTTTAAGAATATATTTTTTTTTAATTTATTTTTTTTGCATAAACATTCAGTGTTTTAATCTCTCTTAAATGACCAGAACTACTACTAGTAGTAGTAAGAGCTAAACCAAAATAGGTAAGTGTAAAAGGACTAAGGTCAAGGCAATCCTTATATGGTTAAGGATCACCTTGATTGAGCTAATTAAATTTGTCAGCTTAATAAATGCTTTGTTTAAATCACAGTATAAAGACCATAAAAAAAGAAACAATTCAAATTCTAGATAAGCATTGTTATTTAAACATATTGGTTTTATCAATGTTCTTATATGATGATCAGTATTGAAGAAAATTGCTAAAATATATACTGATAATTATTTACAAATGAACTATTATCACTATCTTTGTTGTTGTTATCACAACATTTCAATCATTGTGCCCTCCAGTCTTCATTAGGTGATTGTCTATCCTGGTAACTTTCAGGAAATTTGAAACTGAACCTTTTATTTAATCTACAGGGATAGATTGTTCTCATTCCACTGACCATGTCTAAAGATATCTTGTCGAGTTTTTATTTAGTACTGCTCAGTTATTGCTTGTCCTCTTCTAAATGAGGTGAAGCATACAATATCCAGCCCAGGGACAGTGGATAATGGGTGAACACCGAGTAGTATTAAATAAGAATTAAATGAGGTATCGCAGTACACAGACAGTGGAACAATCTACCCACCTTCTGTTCAAAATTCCCTGAAGATTACCTGGATAGACAAGTACCAGATGAAGGTCAAAACATTATAACAACAACAGAAGTCATATCAGCAACAGGTAGGTTAGCTTTAAAGATCCAAGTTATACACTCAGGATTGTCCCATGGGACAATAAACTAGTGGGTTAAAGTGCTGGTTCATGAATTTGGTGACATAATAATTATGAGTTAAATTCTTGCGGTGAGTCGTGCAGACTTAAACTCAGAGGAAACTGTATTGAATAAGAAATAGAAGAGATATCTGTATTTATGGTCAGTGGAACATGGATTAAATAAAGGGTTCAGTTCAAAATTCCCTGACGGTTACCCAAAATGACAAGCAACAGATGAAGGTTGAAATACCGTGATAACAACTATAAAGATGCAGACAATAGTTCCAGTGTTGTATACCCTTCATTGGGCAGGGGGTGTTTTGGGTTTTATCTCGTCTCATCTTGCTGGTGATTGTTAGTCATTTTAGTTCAATCTCCTCCTCTTGGTCAGTATTGTGAAATGTTCTTTAGAGACAAAAAGCATCAAAGAGTACTTTTAACTAACTTATTTTATTAGTGTCACCAATATACATTCAATCAAGTGGGGGTTACTACACCCCCTATTCGCGAGCCGCTTTCAAACACAAAATCTTATATGTCCATTTCCTTTGACCACCTCTCGAAAGACCTTTCCCACTGTGGGGAGGGGGTTGCACAAATGCAATCTAACACATCTAGCTAGCTTGACATCTGAACAGCAACTCCTCGTAAAACCTCAATCTCTAACTCATTCTCATGTTCGGCTCAGCCAATCAAAATCAACATCTCTATTTTGTCTATCATCTGACCTCAAAGGTCAGCCTCAAAAGGTCTGAGCCAAAATACACTGCCACTAAAAATGAACAAGCATAAATAATGTAAATAATAAATACTGATCCCAGAAATTCAGATAGAAAATACCTAAGTATTTTTTATGGAAAACATCATATCAGGTGAAACAATTTGGTTTTCAATTTGTTGAAGTGATTTTAATGTCTGCATTTCTTTGTAATTAGTAATTCTCATTTGATCATTTAGTTTTTTATGATTGTAGACAAAGGAGACTGTTAATTTATATTTTAATATATTCAACTTTATTAGGAAATGCTGATTGCACAAATACTCACAACTTCCCCCCCCCCAGTCTTCACAATTTGATGTTAGTACAGAAAAAAAAACAATAACCTAGTGGATTAAAGTATTATTAATTGTGAGTTCAATCCCTGGGCTGAGTAGTACAGACTTAGACTCAGTGGAAACAGTGAGCAATAACTAAGCAGCCCTAAAAATAGCAAAACAAGATATCTCTAGACATGGACAATGGAATGAGAACAATCTACTCCACTAGATTAAATAAAGGGTTTAATTTTAAATTCCCTGTAGGTTATCTTTATTGACAGAGACTTGGAGAAGACCAGAGGGGACAATGGTGCTCTTAACCACAAAAATGAGGATATTAGTTCAAAATTAAATAAAGAAAAGGCCATGTCTCAGGTTAACTGATTAGTGAAATTTATACTTTATATATTTTTGTTTTTTTACTGATAATTCATCGAATAAAAGGCCCAAGGGCCACTCAAGGTAGAAAGATACTGAGTGAGTCTGTTGTAAGGAAGGAGGAAGTATGAAAGTATTATGAGAACTAGTAGGATTGATATTGGTTGACACTGGACTTAAACCAAGATTGTATTTTTCAGGGAAGCATTTTCTCAGGAGTTTGTTCCACCAAATAACAGTTCTCAAGAAAAGTTGTCAAGGTTGGCAATGTTTTGTCAGTGGGATAAGATTTGTAGGTAAGTGAATAATCCATCACCCACAAGGCTATGTAATTGCTTTTGAACACTGTCGAGTCAGAACAGTGAGGACTTGGCAGCATCAGCCGAGCTGTGGCAACAATATTCTTAGTTTAATCTGATTCTTGTAAAGATAGAGCATGGCACCAGGAGTTTGGTATTTTCTGGAGCAATACAAGAAACTGACTATTCTTCCAGCATCTTTTGCAATGACAAAAATATACACATACACATTGAGGTCGGGCATGAACTTTAGCCCAGTAGGCGTTCGAGGCAAGAAACCATTTTAAGGGTATGACCACTCATAAGGATTGATGCAAGTTTTGAGTCTGCTCGGTGGTGATGAAACGTTACTTGGATGTATTGAATGAAATCAGCCATTTTTTCCTCTCATTAAGCTTAGGTCAGAGGAGAGTTCAGCTGCCAGGCACTGGTCATCAAGATATTTGGAGGTGCACCCATACATTGTGGTATCATCTGCATATATATATATTTTCTAAGGATCTGAAAGTGTTCTTAGAAAGATCATTGATATTAAGCAGAAAGAGGGTAGGACTAAGGAGAGAGAGCTTTGGGGGATGCCATAATTGATCTTTCATGCCTCAGAGGACAGGCTGTTAAGAGCAACCATCATAAATCTAGCTAATAGGAAAGACTTGATAACCAAGAAGACTATAATTTAGATAGTAATTGTTTTAAAATAGCCATGTTAGATATTTCCATGTTATTCCTAATTAAAACTGATTTTTTTATTTTTCCATAGTTTTAAATTTTTGCTTTTTATGCAATCTTTTATTAGAAAAATATTGTCAAATATAAGAACACTTTTTAAAAAAGAAAAAATGTATTTTTAATGATATGGTATGATGTAAGCAGTGACCGTCCCTTTTAATAAGTAGAATCAAAAAACTATTTCCTGTAATTTAACTCAGAGTATGTAAGTAATGTAGCAGAACAAATATCTATGTGCAGTAAGTTTAAAAAGAAAAAAGGAAAAAACAAATTGCTGAACTGACTTTGTATAAATTTGCAACTGAGAAGAACAGATGTGGAAACAGATCTGACATCTGGTTGAGCTGGCAATCTTTCCTTTTTTTTTTTTCTTCTTTAATATAAAACTTATTTTAATATCCTGCAAATCCATGCATGGCTGCCAGGTTTAGCAACCAAGTAGAAAATTGTGCTACATTTTAAAGCCTGGCCCATAAATTTTGAATTGACTCTCTTAATAGAAACTCCTGTTAGTCCAGCATATTTTAAAAGTACCACCCGAAATTGCAAGTAATTAAATTCAAAATTTAGTACTACTAGCTTTACAAAAGTAATTCTGTCTGGCAATTTAACACTGAGGGTAAATTTCACTAGCCTACTTTTTATGCACAATTGATCTCAATGACAATTAATAATTTTAATCATTTCATTGCAATAACATAAAATACATTTAACATTAAATTGTCAACAAAAATTTGTTACCCATTAACATCATTTGTTGCATATTTTCATATCATTTTATG